CTTCATGTCATGAATTCTATTTCTTTCTTATGCTGATCATTTAAAGTTTCCAGCTTCTTCTTATCATCTTCTAATTTTTTATCTATCTGTACTCTAGATTTGCTAAGCAATTCCTTTATGAATGTTGACATTTCTTGTTTTTTTTTTACCTGAGAGATTATTTCTGATCTGATTTCTTCAAAAGCCTCATGGATTTGTTTCCTTACTTAGGTTGCTATCATTTCAGTAATGTCACATGTGTGTCTTCTCTTTTCTGCTATCTCATTGTCTCCTGGACTTGTTTGGGTGGACTGCAGGTCTGAGGTTGCATTTTGCATCTCTGTCTTGTTATTTTCTATTTCAAATTTTTAATTTTGTTTTCTGTGTTGATCCTTGTAAGTTTTGTAGTAAGTAGCTTTAACACTAGTATCAATGCCTCTCTAGGCAAGATGTGTTCTTCAGGGATGCCTTCTGTGTGTGGAAGGGTCTTGGTTTGTGTCTGTCCCAGGATCCTATGTTTCCAATTAATTTAGAGTGAGATGTTGGTATCTGTTTGGCTCATCCCCAGACTTTTGGTGCTGGGGTGTGGTGTGGTTATTATCCCAAACCTTCCCATTATTGTTACAGAAGTGAGAACAACTGATTAAAACAGATGTGACATACTAGCTAAAGCAGTATATTTAGCACTAACAATAGTATCAAGCACAATTTAGAAACTGACAAACTGTGAACTATTAATTTTGCACCTCTAACCACAGAAGCAAAAATCTGTAGTTATATAACAGAACTGATCATAAATTGAGAGCTTGTATGCAAAGTGTTTCCCCTTGGTAGAGTGGTCTTAGCCTGTGGTATGGAAATTTAGGTATGACAGTGGATAAAACAGAGGTAACTGAAAAGAAATAAAATAGAAACCAGGCTGGATGATGAAGGATGATCACACAAGCTTTGGGAAACTAGCTCAGAGGACAGAAGAGAAAGAATGAAGGAGTAAGGAAGGAAGTATTGAAGTTGACCAGAAAAATTAGAGAGGCTATTCGCTGATATGAAAATATGACTAAGTTTAGAAAGGTAAATTGAGCAAAGGGAGAAAGAAGATGAATAGATTAGAAGAAAAATATAAGTAAAAGACAAAAAAAAAGAAAAAGAATGGGAAACAAACCAGCAAAAAGAAGAAAAATATAATAAAATAAAAAGCAAAATTCCTCTGGTGTCCAAGAGTCCAAAACTACTGAATAACACTGCCAAGCTTGCAGTAGAGTTTATGCTGGATTTGAGGTTGACCTTGGCCTCCAAATATGGGGGTCTGAAGTCAGAATGTTCAGCCAGTACTTTTTGTATGTTCTTAGAAGCCTCCCATGCCTTACCCTGTTTCTCTTGGTGGCTTCTCTCTCCTGGTTGCTGTGCTGTTTTCAGACAGAGATGGGGCTGCTCCCAGTCCCATGCACCGTTGGCTCCTTCTGGTCCTTGATCAACCTTCTGTGTTCCTCTTCCACTGGCCAGTCTCTTTCCTCACAGGTCTTTTGTTGCAGGGTGGGGTGGTATGCTGTGATATGATCTGGTCCTCTGCTCCTGTGTTGCAGTTCAAGGCTGCTCAGACTCAATTCTTACTCCTCTCCCAAGGTGGGGTGCTAACTTCCCGTTCATTGCTTTACAAGTTCCACTGCCATTGTCACCTGCCTCTGCTGTAGTCTGTAACTTCCTCAAGGTGAGGTGGGGGGTGCAGTGAGGTGCCTTTCTGCTCCAGCCCCCCCCCCCAGCGGGGTGAGGATAATCTGGGGCTGCACAGTTCGAAGGTGCAGGGCTATTTAATTCCCTACACCTCTCTAACCAAAGGTCATGGGGAGGGGTTAGCTGTTCCATTTACTAAGCACCCCTGTAGTCTTTAATCTTGTTCCTGGTGGTTCCAGTTAGTGCTCTGGGAGTCTGAGATGAATGGTGGAGAGCCTCTCCCATTCCCGATCACTCACCCCTAGTATGTGCCAGTGAAAATGCTGCTGGGCTGCAGCTTCTTCAGTGTTGGGAGAGGAGACCAAGAGATGAATGGGCTCAGACAGCTGCAAGTCTATCCTGTTAGGGTTATCTCTGCCATGCTCCTTGGATCCTGCCAGCTATTTGGGAAGTTCTCAAAATGTCTGCTCCTATGGCATGCAAGGGTTGAGGTCCTGTAGGCCAACCCTGTCAGGCGGCTTCCCCTCTTTTAAACTCTTATGCATATGTCTTCTTTCAAATTGATTTTTTTGCATCAATTCTTTCAAATTGATTTTTTTGCTATGTCCCTTCCCTTCTTCCAGTTACCTGTGTTTTTAGTTGATCTTCTCTGAATCTCTCCGATGTGACTCCTCCTCTCCTCAGCCATGTTGGATCTCCCTTATTTTTCTATTTTCTATTTTATTTTTTCTGCTCAATTCTTTTTCATTCCCTTCCTTTTTCTAACACTGGATTTGGTTCACTCTCTCCTAGGTTTAATGTGGAAGATTGATTTTAATGAGATCTTTCTTTTTTTTAGTGCAGTTATTATACCTATATTTACCTATAGAGGTATTTACAGCAATAGTATTAATACCTAATACACCTAATATATATTGATTAATATATATATATTACTTAATATATATTAATACCTAATATACCTAATATAATTATCTATAGGTATTAGTAGCTTTCATGTAGATATTTTCATATCAGTATTTATAATCATTTACACCTATATTAGATATTTTTAGCTATAAATTTTCCTCTAAACACTACATCCGTCACATCCTATGTTTTGCTTTGTAGTGCTTTTGCTCTTCATTCATCTTCATGAATTTTCTAATTTCTCTTGTGATTTTTTTCTTTGGCCCATTTGTTCTTTAGAATTGTGTTGTTCAATTTCCTCATATTTATGAATTCCCTAAATTTGTTTGTATTAATTTCTAGTTTGTTTATTTTGTGGTCAGAAAAGAGATGTTGTGTGATTTTGATCCTGTTAAATTTTAAGACTTATGGCCTAGCATACGGTCTATTGTGGAAAATGTTCTACATGCTCTTTAAAAGGATGTACAAGCTGCTGTTGCTGGGTAGGGTGTACCTCTTGGGTCTAGTTGGCTTAGAATGACTGTTCAAGTTCTATGTCCTTATTGATTTTCCATCTCATTGTTCTAACCATTATTGAAAGTAGAGTATATGTGTGGATGTCCCACTAAAGCCTCATATAGTTATGCGGGGGCAGGCTTTTTGGAGGCAGCTGAATCTACAGTTTGTAATTGGTTCATTGTCTAATTCTGGTATTTGCAGTGTGAGTGCTACACCTGCCCTAGGTTGTAGCTTGCATACAGTATGAGTTTGCTATCTTTTGCTGACAAGAACTATTGCCCTTTAGCCATGCCACCCTGCCTTGGAGCCAGCTGATTATGGACTTAAACCTCTACAAATTGTGAGGTAAATAAACTTTTCCTTCCTTAATTTTAAAATTAATTTTGGGCATCAGACATTTTGTCTCAGTAATGACAGAAAAGTGATGAAGACAGTATTGATGTCTTCAACTATCACTGTTGAGTTGCCTATTTCTTTCTTCAATTATGTCAGGCTTTGCTTCATGTAGTTTTGGGCTCTGTTGTCAGGTTTATACGTTTATAATTATTTTGTTTTCTTTATTTACTGACTGTTTTATCACTATGGAATATTCTTCTTTATTGCTATTAAGAGTTTTTGTCATAAAGTCTATTTTGTCTACTATTAGGGTGCCCACTGTGGTTCTCTTATGGTTGCTGTTTGCCTGGTCTTTCTTTCTTTCTTTCTTTCTTTCCTTCCTTCCTTCCTTCCTTCCTTCCTTTCTCTCTCTCTCACTTTCTTGGCCTTTCAAACTCTTTGAAAGTAAAATATGTCTCCTATATACAGTGCATATTTGGATCTTTTAAAATTTTTATCCAGTCTCACAACCTCTTTTTATTTTATTAATCTATTCATATATTATGCCATTATTGATATGATTGAATTTACATCTGCCATTCCTTTTTCTTTTTTGATATACCATTAGCCATTCATCTGTGGGTTCTGCGTTTAAAATATTAAAAAATATTGAGTCTGTTCTGAACATGTGCAGAGTTTTTTCTTATCATCATTCTTTTTATTTTTTGTTTTTTTATCCAGTACGAGGAATCGAACTCATAACCTCACACTTGCCAGGCAGGCACTGTGCCACTGAGCTAAATCCCCAGCCCGTTATCATCATTCTTGAAAAAACACAGTATAATAACTATTTACATGGCATTAACATTAAGTATTATAAGCAGTCTAGAGATGATCTGAAGTATATAGGAGGCTTTGCATAGGTTATATGCAAATACCATGCCATTTTATATGAGGGACTTGGGGATCTATGGAGTTTTGTATCCACAGGAGATCCTAGAACCAGTCTCCCATGGATTCCAAGGGACAATTGTACGTCTCATAGCTATTTTGTTCCTGTTTCTCCTTTATTTTAAGTTAATTTTTGTAACTGGTTTGGGGTAGAAGTTTAAGTCCAATTGGTTAGCTAACTGCTAGAAAAATTTTTTAAAAATTATGCTTTTCTATCAAATTGTAATACTTCTGTTGTCATGAATATTAGACCCATATATAGTTGGATATATTTATGAAATTTTTGTTATGTTCTAGTAATATATATATATGTATATATATATATATCTTCTCTTCTATCAATAACTGTTGTTTTGTTTCAGTAACATAATGGTGAATTTCAATATTTGGTATAGCAAATCCCTTTTTATTTTCCTTCTTTTCAAATAATTGCTCGTATGAATTTTGATGTCCAAAGTAAACACTATCTATAGTCCTTTTAAAATTTCACTGAATGCACATTCATGTGCACGCGCACACACACACACACACACACACACACATTCACCATTCAGTAACATGTTATGTGTAAATATAGACAATTCACTTAAAGTGGACATGTAATTGGTAACATAGCACATTAAAGTGAAACAGGATGATGTATGAAGCTTTTATCTAACAATTGTTTTTTTACATAGGGTGAGTGTTATGGAAAGCAGTGCCATCAGAATATTAAAAGAGAGAATTATTTCACGAAAAACCGACCTCACTCATGCTTTCCAAGTTCGAGACCACGTTAAATCAGGTAATCAAACTATATGATGTTTACCTACCCTACACTGACCTGCCCTGGCCTACCCTACAGCCCATGCCTGGAATCCCAGCCCACTGGGAGATTGAGGCAGGAGGATTGCAAATTCAAGACCAGCCCAGGAAATTTAGTGACTTAGCAAGACCCTGTCTCAAAATTTAAAAATATAAAGAAGGGTGGGGATGTAGCTCAGTAAAAGGGCCTGGGTTCAATACCCAGTGCCACAAAAAAAAGAAATTAAATTAAATAAAAAATCTATTATTCACTCAAAAGTAGGCCTAAATCTCCATTTCAGTAAGCTGTTTTTAAACTTAGAAGACTAACAACTTTGAAATTGCACTTCTATTGTGATAGTATGTTAAGAAACAACTAGATCGTGGAAGACACAGAATTTTAATGCATTTGTCAGCCTCATAGTATGGTAAATGCTGAGCTGCATCCCCAGTTCTTTTAAAAATTTTTTATTTTGAGACAGGGCTTTGTTAAGTTGTCCAGGTTGGTCTTGAGCTTGTGATCCTCCTGAGTCGGCCTCCCAGGTAACTGAGGCAATCTTAATGGTTAACATCAACATATCCCAACCCCATGTTGAGCCAGGTGGGATTACAAGTGTGTGCTAGTACCCCCATAGTAGTGAGAGACTTTAATACTCCTCTTTCAGAAACTAAAAGAATAGACACATGAAATATTAGCAAACTTTTCTTAAATAACTACACCCAACATTTTAGAATATATATTCTTGTAGAGCAAAACTGGAACATTCATAAAATTTTACCGTAGAATAGAACAGAAAGCAAATCTCAACAGATTGTGAGGAATTCCAAATATTATATAATAAATTAATTCCTTGACGTAGTGACTGGAACTACCACTCAATAACATAATCTAGCAATAAAATCTTCTTTTGTCTTAGGATTTAAGAAACGCACTTCTAAGATTAGAGTGTTGAAATGGAGTGAGAAGGAAAGTACAATGCTTAAAACTTAAGGAAGACAAATTTGAGAAGAATTTCTGAAACTTATTTTAAAAGATAAAAGATAAAACAAGCATTTTAAAAGATAAAACACATGCATTTAAAAAGATGATAAAATTAAAAAGATAAAATTTAAAAGATATTTAAAAAGATAAAATTTAAAAGATGAAATGCATGCATTTTAAATGATAAAACTTTGATCAACAAAGTGAAAGAATAGTTTGTTGAAGAAACCGGTAAAGTTGCTAAAATTTTGGTAAGGAATGGAAAGAGTGCAAGTGAGTAAGTGAGAGAGCACATGTGCACAAGCACAAATAACCAGTGTCAGGACTGAAGGAGCTATTACTGCATAACTTATGAGGATTGAAAGATCATTAAAATATATTGTGAAAACTTGTATGCTAATTATTCAAATTGTAGATCAAATGGACACATTCCTAAAATACATGCATCTGTACACTTAAATGTGTGTAGGCTAAAACTGACACAATTATAAATAGAAAGTCTGAATAATTCTGTAACTATTAAGGAAATTACTCAGGAGGCTGAGGCAGGAAGATCATCATGATTTCAAGGCCAGCCTGGGCTACATAGTGAGACCCTGTTTCAAAAAATAAAGAAAAGAAAAGAAAAGAAAAGAAAAGAAAAGAAAAGAAAAGAAAAGAAAAGAAAAGAAAAGAGAGGAGAGGGGAGGGGAAGAGAGGGGTGGGAAAGGGAAGGGAGGAGAGAAGAAAAAAAGAAAAGAAAGAAAAAAGAAAGAAAGAAAGAAAGAAAGAAAGAAAGAAAGAAAGAAAGGAAAGAGAAAGAAAGAGAAAGATATTGCATCTGAAAATTTGCCAAGCATGGTGGTGCACACCTGTAATCCCTGTACTCAGGAGGCTGAGGCAGGAGGATGCTGTGAGTTCAAGGCCAGCCTGGGCTACATAGTGAGTTCAAGGCTATCCTGAATTATAGAGTGATACCTTGTCTCAAGAAAATTAAAAATAAAACAAAATAAAATGGAGATCTAAAATTTTCCACAAAGACAGCTCTGCTCTCAGATGTTAACCTTTACAATATACATTTCAGAAAGAAAACAAGTCTTACCCAAACTGTTTCAGAAAATAGAAATAGAACGCTTTCCTGATTATTTTAGGAAAACAGGATAACTTTAATATCAAAACCTAACAAGAATATTATGAAAAAGGAAAATTAAGGATTAATTTCATTGATAAATTTAGATGAAAACAATCCTAAATGAAATGTTAGCCAAAGATTAATATATCACAACCAGGTTTGGCTTTTTCTAGGAATGCTAGGAATTCTAGATTGTTTTAACATTCCAAAATCAAGTGGTATAATTCACAATTTTAACAAATTAAAGAAGTCATATAATTCTTTCAAAATAAGAGAAAAATTATTTGATGTATTTCACCCTATTTTCATGGATTTAGAAAACATTTAGAAGGGCTGGGGAGGTGTAGTTTAGTGGTAAAACACTTGCCTAGCATAAGAATAAAAAGGAATGGAGGGAGGGAGGGAGGGAGGATGAAGGAAGGGAGGAAAGGTTTTAGAAAACTAAGAAAAAAGTGAACTTTCTTAATCTCATGAGGTCTCTAACTCTGAAAGCCTGTAACAAATAACATACTTGATGGAGAAAGAGTGGAAAGGAAAAGATGTTGTAGACTGAATAATGTCCTGTCCCCTGATATGTACACATCCTAATAGTTAGAATCTGTGGATATTGCCTTATATGCCAATGGGCACTTTGCAGATTTGATTAACGTAGGCATCTTGGCCAGGGCAGAGTCTCCTGCATTGTCCAATGGGCCTGATATAATCACAATAGTCCTTTTAAGAGGGATGTAGGAGACAGAGAGGAGGATGATGGGATTACAGCAACAGGTATTGAAATGACAACTTTTGAAGATGGAAGAAGAGGCTCCAAGCCAAGGCATACAGGCAGCCAGAAGCTGGAAAAAACAAGGAAACAGACCCTCCCTTTAGAGCCTCCAGAAGGAACCAGCCTTGCTGAAACTTAACTTTTGCCCAGTGGGACTGATTTCAGATTTCTGATCTCCAGAATTGTAGGAGAATACATTTGTGTTATGTAGGCCACTAAATCTGTTGTAATTTGTGACAGAAGCAATAGGAAACTCATGCAGATGCTCCACTGTCAAGACATCTGTTTAGCATTGTACTAGGGATACCAGCCAGTGCAATAAGGCACATTAAAAAAAATAAGAGTTAAAAAGTGTCACTATGTGTAGACAACATGATTGAATATATAGAAAATCCAAGGTGATCCACAGGAAAGGTGCTAGAATTAATAAATGAATTTAGCAAGTTGTCAAACGTAAGGTCAGTACAGACAAATTGATTGCATTTCCGTATACTGGTGTATTATTTAGTGCCTATTTAGGATACGGAAACCACTTCAGTAATTTCAACAAGGAAGCTTAATATAAAGAATTATTAACTGATAAAGGACAATTACTAAAAGCAATAAAAGAAAATGAAAAAACACAGGAATAGCAAGTATAGGGAGAAACTGTTCCTACCTCTAAGGCTGAGAGAGTATCCAAGGAAGGAACAAACTGAGAAGAGTCCCCTACTTCTAACGAAGCCTGAAATTCATTGTAGAGGGAGTGGCTGTGGCCCACTGGATGGGGTAGAAGTTCACTGATGGGCATCCTGCTATTGGACCAGGACTAGAGAGGCTGGAGCCAGCCACTGGGGTACCAGTGAAGCTCACTAAGAAAGGTGCATGCCACTGTCTTTTCCACACACCATTAAGACAAAATATTGTAACAAGTATTTGAAATACTTTAAAAAATCAAGTCTCTTCTAAACATGTGCAGGTGGTTTTTGCTATCATTATTCCCTAAACAATATACTATAGCAATTATTTACATACCACTTCCATTGCGTTTACTACTATAAGTAATTCAGAGATTATTTAAAGTATACAAGAGGCTATGTGTAGGTTATATGTGCTACTACCTCATTTTTTATGAGACTTGAGGAGCTGCAGAGTTTTGTACCCATGGAGGGTTCTGGAACCAAGGGATGCCTGTGTATACCAATGAGCCTTAAAAATCTGCATACCATACTCAGGTGTGGTAGTGCACACCTACACTCCCAGCACTTTGGGATGTTCAGGCAGGAGAATCACAAGTTCAAGCCCAGCCTGGGCAACGTAATGACTTAGGGTGACCCTGTTTTAAAATTAAAAAGTGAAAAAAGGAGGTCTGAGGATGTACCCTGGACCCTTGACTTACAATTGGCCTGACATACAAACAACTTGGGTTATGACTGGAATTTTGGTTTCAATTTGTGACCGAAGTCCTGAGTCATGACCCAAATGCTAGCTGCTTGTGCTTCTGAATGGTCTCAGGTATAGATTTAACCTTAAAGAATTCTGGAAGGAACATTACAGCATCCTTTCTGTTATGGGGTAGGTTGAGAAATCCTGGGCCAATGTCTACGGACACTGAGATCTGCCTGTGTACAGGAGAGAGATTTCGAAGGCTGCAGAGAAAAGCCTGAGCCTTCAATTGATAACTTGAGTTACAACCAGCCCTCAGGAATGAATTGAGTTTATAACTGCGGGGTCCATTGTAGCTCAATTCAATCCATAGTACTGAAAAAAAATCCATATATACCTTGTAATTCTAGTTACAAGTGATCCTAAGGAAATAATGGAACAGCTCCACGACCATTAAACAATGATACAGATCTATGTTCTTTAATATAGATGAATGTCCATGATTTGAAAAACACATTAGAATAAATATTTGTATGCATGTATATGTGTATATGTGTGTTTTGCCACATGTAGTGTACATAAAACATACTAAACAGCTGGGCATGGTGGTGCATACCTGTAATCCCAGCACTCAAGAGGCTGAGGCAGGAGGATCACTGCAAGTTCAAGGCCAGCCTGGGCTACATAGTGAGTTCAAGGCAACCTGAACTACACAGTAAGACCTTGTCTCAAAAAAAAAAAAAAAGCAAAACTTATGCGAGAGTACAATATATATTTGATTTTAAGGAAAAGAAACTTTATATGTATTTGTGTAAACACATATTTATATAGAGAGAAAAAATAAAGATATTTATTAATAGGCATACCTTACTTGATTAATCAGAAAAGAAAAAAAATCTAGTACCCAAAGTGATGTTTCTTAAACATGACAGTAAGGACAAGATCTATGGAATATAAAGTCTATCCTTAACTATTCCTCCCTCGGGGCTCTGGGGCTTGGTAGGATAGATCATGAAAGAGCAGCAAGGCCCCAGGTCCCAAAACCCCAGGCTGCCCACTGAGTTTACCAAGGGCCTTGCATCTTTTTTTCCCCAAATTATAACCAAATTATACGGGCTGTGTTATTGTTCTTGTTGTTGTTAGGAAAAATTTCAGTGACCCAGTGGGCTTTTTCCATGGAGAGCATTTTGGGGCTGAATTTACCGTGGAGAACCCTGAGTTTGCATCTGGTCAACGTAGACAAAGATGGATATGTTGACTACATGTCCAGCTTCCAGGATATGCGCATTGAAAAACCAGTGAAAGAGGCAAGTGACACATAGCCCGAGCTACAAGCTGGCTGGGGCAAAACACCCTTTGTACAATCTGTAAGTAACTTACAGATTGTTAAGATTGACAACTGACAATTGTTACAGATTGACAACTCACCCTAGGGAGAGTTGTCAGACCCCAGTATTTTGCTGGCTGGGGCAAAACACCCTTTGTACAATCTGTAAGTAACTTAGTCCTTTAAAAGTTGAGAGTAAAATCATTCAATGGATGGGAGTGGCATTCTTAGGAAAGGCCAAAAAGGAATCTTCCAAGGACACTATGATCTGTTTAGGAAATTTGTGTATTCTAAATTTAGGCAAAAAGAAAAGACAAGGTTTCATCAAGATAATCCATGTCAAATATGTGGTTTTTATTTTAAATGCTCTCCAGCAGAAGATAGACATCACATCCATTCTTTCATGCAGCACACCATTTAAAATAATGCTTTTCCTAACAACATATAGGCTTGTGGACATGATGCAGAATAAGTCTTAAGAATTTAAAAATGTAAATTCCTTTATTAAAATGGGAACACCCTAGGGAGAGTTGTCAGACCCCAGTATTTATTAGTTAACAGTTCATCAGCGATTAGTTATATCATCGACCTAAGTGAAATTAGAACTTGGGTGATTGTAGGGAAGATGAGAAGAATGGAGTAGGGAAATAAGTGCTGATTGGAATCTAAAATGTCCAGAGGGAGGAAGATTTTGACCTCACTTCAGAGGCAGTTTGCCGTCGTGATGAAGATCATAGGCCTTGGCTTCACAGAACTAAGATTCAAATTCCACTTAATAGCTATGTGACTATAGAGAAAGTTACTAAGGAAAGTTGTCTTTCTGATTTCTAATCTTTAAAATGGGTATAACACTGAGTTCTGTTCCTATTCCTTAGGGCTGTAGAGGACTGAATGAATTAATATGAATTCCATAAGGCTTGCTGTAAAAGTTGGCAATTGCTATGTACTGCTGCCTTATTTACTTTGGTCCCTTAAGGAACACAAAAGCAGGTCTTTTATCTGATTGCAGATCACTGGGCCAATAGAAGGCTTGCCTTCTCCAGTTTCTATCTAAATCACAATACTTTGAATTGGTAACGATGTTGTTTGTTTGTTACATTTGCTAAAGCTAATGTGTCATTAATTCTATGTATTTTAACATTTAGAAAATCTTTATTTTAGGCTGAATCTGCCATAATTGAAACTCTGTACAGATACCGAACTGACCTGCAAATGATATTTAATATCATTGATTCTGATCGCTCAGGTAAATGAATTTTGGTTCAGTAGTAGTAGAAAGCAAAAGCCAGTCTGTTTCTTCAAAATCAGAGCACTTTTCTTCCATTTCATTTTTCATCCAAACTTAGTGAAACTCAAAGAGAAAGACGTATGCATCTTCAATGATATTGTTATTTTAGTTTGGCCACAAACCCTGTATTCAAGAGCATCACATTCTATAGAAGCCTGTGTAGCCACTGGTCAAACTGGGATAGTCTCTTTTATAAATCACCAGCACAAATGTAAAGATAATTCATTTTCCATTTTAATATCTTAGTTTCATTTTCCATTTTAATATCTAGTTACTCTGAAATAAAAACCATTTGTAGAGTTCTGATTCAGCTTTGGGGACTGAGAGCTATGGAAACTCATTTTTGATTTAACTTTGATGCATAGTTACTGTCTTGGTTACTTTTCTCTCGTTGCTGGGACAAAATACCTGATGCCCAAAATTAAGGAAGGAAAGGTTTATTTCACTTACAGTTTGTGGAGGTTTCAGTCCATACTTGGCAGGTTACAAGGCAGAGTGGCACATGGCAGAGGGCTACAGCTCATGGCAGCAGAACACAGACAAAGCAACAAGCACAAAAGCCACGAATGGCCTCAAGCAGCCTCTTGCTCTCCCTTACATATGCAAACTATCCACCCCAGGGTGGGTGCAGCTCTCACACCCATAATCAATCAAACTCTAAAAGCCTGTCCCATGACCGCATGAGGCTTTTGGGGGGCACCCAGATACAAACCATAACAGTTACTTATTTTCAAACTTAAGAAATATATAGGGCTGGAGATGTAGCTTCAGTACTAGAGTGTTTGCCTACCATCCACAAGGCTCTGGGTTCAATACCCAGCATCACACACTCATAAATCAATACTCCCCTACTGCAGAGACCTTTGAACACACACACATACACACACACAAATCAGTAATTGACCTACAAAAGTAAAGTATTGCCCATTAAAAAAGGCAATACTATTGTTTGCAATCCTCTTACTAACTCCCATAGTACTGCCTCCCTCTGCTTTGATATTGTTCTCTTCTTTGCCACCCTTCCATATTCCTCACCCTTAGATTTTAGTTCTTACAGCTTTCATACCACATTTAGTTCCACAGTCCACATTCTATCACTTTTTATTTACTCTGGCTTTGGAATGACTCAGGATCACTTGGTAGTTGAAAGGGGTATGCTGTTCCTTACATTTACGATCTTACTTTTTCACATCCTTCATTGTCTGGATGATTAGGCATGTTAATGAGCTTCTCATTTGGACTATTCAATTAATACAAATTTCCCACCCCTCTCTTAGGTGGATCTTGACATGAACACTCACTGCCTTCTCCTATATTCTTTTAGGCCTGATCTCCATGGAGGAATTTCGGAACATGTGGAAACTTTTCAGTTCTCACTACAATGTTCAAATTCGTGATTCTCAGATTGATGAGCTTGCCAGCACAATGGACTTAAACAAAGATGGAAGCATTGACTTCAATGAATTTTTAAAGGCTTTCTATGTAGTGCATAAGTATGAGAAGTCAAACAAATCAAATACCTAGGATTCTCCCTACTAATGAAGGGTTTCCCCTCAGGCTCCTTATAAACAGCTGAACTCAAATTACACAGTCTTTTCCAGGACCCTTGAAATTCATAGTAATAGACAAAAGTAGATCCCTCACCCACACCACAAGCAGATGTACAGACTGGATGTTTGAAGCCCTTAACAACCCGATTTGCTAAGACAAGGTTAAATGTCAGCTGGTAGGATTTGCCTCCAGTGTTAGGACTCATACATTGCCAGTTAGAAACTTCGTTTGAGCCTAGTGTGGATTTCTTTGATGCCACTGAACTGGGAGACCAGTGCAGATTAGAAACACTGAAAGGGAGCCACAGAGGACTAGAGCAAACTATGAAGTGCAACATCTGGAAGTGACGGAGGGATGGGAAGAGGAATAGCAAACTATTAATAAAATAAACTGCTTCAGTATTCAAACTGTTATCCTTTTTTGAGATTCCATAAACCAGTGATCCTCCAATGGGGAACCAGCCTTCAGGGAAGCGGGCCGTATCAATTTCCTATGGGAAACTATGGAAAACACTATTCTTTTATGTCTGTTAGAGATCAAAGTCAATATATTCAGATTGTGTCCTATAATTAATATTGTTTAACATCATTGATAAGATGAGGCCTTGATTATATAAATATTGTACAATTATTCTGTTACTCAGATTTAATATCAAACATAGTAAGAGATTTCTGTTTAAAGGTAAGTATAGGTTTCATCTTTTTTTTAAGTTTTAGAACTTCAGAATCTATAAACAAACCTTCAAGCCTCCTGCTACACACACCAGACATAATGGCTAAAGTATAACAACTATCTCGTTTAAGTGTATAACTGACCTTACAGAAAATTGAAAGAAACCCCTGAGGGGCAGAAAAAAGAGCACAATGAAAATCATGGTAATATTAACATCAGACAGGATAGATTTTAAAGCAAATGTGCTATTAGAGATCAAAAAGATCATTACTCACCAGGTCGTGGTGCACACACCTCTACTCCCAGCTATTTGGGAGGCTGAGGCAGGAAGATCACAAGTTTGAGCCCAGCCTGAGCAATTTAGTGACTTAATGAGACTCTGTCTCAAAGTAAAATTAAGTAAAATTAAAAACAAGGTGAAAGGGGGTATAGCTCACCACTCCCTCTGTTCAACTTCTAGTACTACAAAACATGCACACGCACAAGATTATTACTGTACTTGGCTGTATTTCTCCCAACAGTTCCAAGGACTGAACCCCAGGGCTATGTGAACCCTAAGTCAGTGTGCCCTACTACCAAGCTAATCTCCACCTCTAAAAGATCATTACTGAATGTGAAAAGGAGTCATTTACCAGGAAGACATAAAAATTGTAAGTACGTCTGATAACAAAGCTTTAAAATTTTTAACACAAAAATTGATGTAACTACTAGACTAAATTGCTAAACGAAGATAATAAATACAACAATGTCAGTAACTGATTATGGAAATAAGAAAATAGTGTATAGAAGATGGCCAGCCCAATTAGTTCACCTGAGGGTGGGGTAGGTATTTGTATATGGTTTGTATATAGATGTGTGTTTGTGATAAATATACACACAAACAAATCTGCAGTCAATTTTATAGAATACACATTTCTAAAAACTGATCACAAATCTCCAATACCAAATGATCAGTAAAAAATATTATATTCTTTGATCATAATGCTATTAAATTAAAAAGCAATATAAAAATAACCATATCAATATGTGAGTACAAAAGGAATATAACTATACATGTACCAGAAAATGCTGATAAAAATGTTCACAAGAATTCTATGAATAGCTTTCTGCTAATAAGTTGTTTATTTGTAATTTTTAAATAAAAATTTTAACTGCTATATAAAAAAATAAAAATTGCATGTATATATGGAGTATCACAAGATGCCAATGATTTTTAAAACTAGGTGAATGGACTATTTCCTCAGGAAAAACAGAATTTACTAATGCTAATTCAAGAACAAAATGATGATCTGGAGAGACACATAATCATTGGAGAACGTGGTAGCCTTATAATAGGTCACTTTGGCTGAGATGAACTTCCTTTCTTGCATGTTTCTGGTAAGGGTGGGCCACAAAGAAAATTCTCAAGAGACTGGAAGGCAAGAGGGAAGTACACACATGCTGTTGCTGATCTCCTGGGTCACCTTATTGGCATGAAGTAGCAGGTAAGCCTATGATTGCTCTACCTTCCCCTGGATCCTCTGCCAGCCTCTTCGATTTCTGGGCTGCTTAATGCCATGAATCAGTACATATGTACTAATATATACTGACACACAAATAGAGAATCAGTATACACATACATATACACAGTCATTTGTCAGTTAACACCAGGACTACTGTATCAGGATTCATTCGAGGAACAGATTTAATACAATACATACATATTATGTAAAGAATTCATGAGATAGGCTTACAATGGTCACCTGCAGGATCATGGGTAGAAAAATGCAAATGACCATCTGCACACTGGAGGGCCAGGGGATACAGTTGAAGGTTGAAGGCTTGGAGCTTACTGTACACTTTGGTGCAAGTCTGTGTCAGAAAGTTGAAAGGTCTGGGTTAAAAGGAGGAAGAATCTACACTAGAAAGCTGAAGGAACTGGACATGAACATTAGGAAGCAATGGAGAAGGCCAGGATTCCTCCAAAGAAGAAAAGGTAAGACTTACTTCTTCTTTACCTTTTTATTACATCCTGGCTACACCCTTATTGGTTGGTGTCACTCATATCGGAGCTGAGCCTTCCCTGCCTGGTTTGCAGCCTACATGTCACTCAGCCACAGACACACCACAGCTTTACTAATCTGCTAGGAAGTTCTTCCTCAAGTCAAGTTGACATCATAACAATCAGCTGCATTCTGACAAATGTATCATTAGGCTATTTCATCATTGTATGAACATCATAGAGTATTCTTACACAAACTATGACAGCTACAATGTCATGAGCCAATATATTCTTACAGGACCACTATTGTACATGCACTCCCCATATGTACTTATAGGGTATATGACTACATATATATATTTCCTACTGGTTCTGCCTCTGGTTGAACCCTGACTGGTATGGAATTTGGTACTGAGAGTGGCTGCAGAACAACAAAATCTTAAAAATGAGTGTTCCAAATTGTTCTGAATTTTCTGGAGTTAGTTTTCTAACCTGATTAGATTTAAAGGCACTAATAACCCTCCTTTCAGTGATAAAGAGGATGCTTGCAGCCCATGGGATGAAGCAGCAAAACAGTTACTCAAATTATCACCTGTAATCAAGTATCCATAGAAGGCAAGACTATGGGAAACCAAATATAGTTTTTGTTACTTTAGAGCATTTTAGTCAAAGTAAGTGTACTAGGGTTGGTTGGTTGCTGGAGAATTTAGAGAAATAAAATGGTCAGCACAGAGCTTTAAGTTCTCACCTCAAGGCCTTTATAGAGACTGGAAAATTTCTATGACTACCCTGAAAAAAACCCTTATCTCTGATAGCCACCAGGCTGCGATTTCTGAAAACCAAACCCAAAGTCTAATTCTATGAATGGTTGACAACATGAATTCCCAACCTGAGCGGGTTTCTGCTCTGATTTGACTGTCCTCTCCAAAAGTCATGTTGAAGTTTAATTGACATTGTAACAATGCTAAGAGGTGATTAGCTCATAAGGGCTCTGCCTCCATGAATGGGTTAATTCTGTTACTGAGGGAGGATACTTGATTCAAGGATGAGTTTGGCTTGATTTTCCTCTCTGATATGCGCTTCTGCCCTTCTGCCATGTCTTGAAGCAGCACCCTCACCAGATGCCAGTGCTATACTCTTAGAGTTTCTGGACTCCAGAACTGTGAGCCAAATATACACCTATTGTTTATTAATTATTCAATCTGTGGTTTTCTATTATGGCAGCAAAGCAAAAAGCTAAGTTTCTTTTTGTTGAGGTGAGGGATCACAGTTTGGGAAGGAAGTGCATCCTGAAAATTAGAATGAAGGTTTATGGGCAGATTCTGATTCCTCTGCCTGAGGAAACTGTACTTTCCCTTTTCCTGGAGAACCTGTAATGGCCTCCCTGAAGTAGTCCTCTTGTAGTTACCACTGATCCTGGTCAGCTTGAGCGCTCTCCCTCTCTCTCTTCCTCTCTCTCTCTCTCAAGTGAGGAGAATGTTTATTGGAAGTCAGGAGAAGAAAAATAGCTCCTGGACTTCCAGGAGGGATCCCCAGGGGGTTGCCACATGTCCCTTGGATCCAGAGCTTCTAATGGATAAGTGGAGTATGGGAATTGCTGTTTGTTTAGTGGCCACCTATCACAGGTGGCTCGGCCACCACCTATCTCTGAGTATGCTAATTTGACTTGATAGGGAAGATCAGAGGCGCTTAAAAGAATTAACAATATACGTGTGTGTAGAATGTAAATAAAAACTTGTTATAATAATTAAACTATACAAATATTAAATAATAACTGTGTATAAATTGGACAGGGAATATGTAGAGTTAAAGTGTTCTAAAATCTTTGTATTGTCTAGCAGCAGAATAAAAAACAATTAATATTAGGTTATGATAAATTAAGAATGCACGTTCTACTCCCCAAGAAAACTGATTGAAAAACAGTAAAGGTTTATAATTTCCAATTTACAGGAGGAAAATGGCAAAACAATTTTAAAAGGAGTACTGTAAAAGGGAAAACTGAAGAGACAAGTCAAATGGTAATATAAGTAGATTTAAACCCAAGCATGAGAATTATTACTTTCAGTATAAACTGACCCAGTGGGGAAAAACTGGCTTTGATGGTTTTGGAACAACCTCTAACTAAACAAACTCAGGGTTCTAGAGGAAGACCCATAAAGAATTTTCTATAAAGTAACCAGACCCAGCAGACCTATCAACTAACTGAAGATCCATGAGTAAGTTCAGCTGTGTTTACCTGAGCCCAATCCAGGCTAGAAAAACTGCTCAGCTGCACCTTGCCCAAACTGCTAATATACAAAGCTGTCTAAATAAATGTTGTTCTAAGACACAGTATAAAATTTTAGTGTAGTTTATAGTCTGTTATGCAGAACCTACATGATAAAGAAATTGACATCCACAAGTGGAGTGTTGTCCTGAAAAGACCGAAATATGGGTCACTGGCTTTGGGACAAGGCATTAGGGCAAAAGCTGGAAAAGCAGTTTACAGACAGCAGAGGCTGAAAAACTAGGTAGAAACTGCTACAAGTTGGCTACAAGAAGGATATGTGCTTTTGAAACAGTTTCCAAAACAGTAGTGTATGGTGGTGGGGAAGATGGCAGATAAGGTAATCGCAGGCAAAATGTTGAACGTGAGAGCTGACAGGCTCTGGTTTTGTAGAATAAAAGAGAGACGAGATGAAACAAAAACTTAGTTTACAAGCAGAACTTAGGAGGGCTATAAAGGGCCCAGTGCAGGCTGAGTTGGAA